ATTTATTTATTTGACACAGAGAGAGAGACAGCGAGAGAGGGAACACAAGCAGGGGGAGTAGGAGAGGGAGAAGCAGGCTTCCCGCTGAGCAGGGACCCAATGCGGGGCTCAATCCCACGACTCCGGGATCCTGACGTGAGCCAAAGGCAGATGCTTAACGACTGAGCTACCCAGGAGCCCCCCCTTTCAGCACCTCTTAATGGCCATTCTAAATGAAGGTCCTTGAGAGGGAGGGAGGAGAGAAAACCTGATTCTGAGGGAGGCCTGGGATTACTATTGGTGATATGGCCAGGGTCCTCACTCCGGGGTCCTCAGGGAGGAGGGGGCTCTGGGTCTGATTTCTGGGTCCCTGGCTGGGAAAAAGGATTTAGGCCCTGTCTTCTGGGTACTGGAGAGGTAAGAGACCAAAGACACCTGGGTCGTCAGAATGGCTGCGAGCTTGGATTTTTGATTGCCGACAGGGAGAGACTTAGGGGCCTCTTCCTGGATCTCTAACCCGGTCTACCCTCCTTCACTTCTCCTCTCAGTTGGCGAGGCCCGTAACCTCATCCCAATGGATCCCAATGGTCTGTCGGATCCCTATGTGAAGCTGAAGCTTATCCCAGACCCTCGGAACTTGACAAAACAGAAGACCCGGACGGTGAAAGCCACACTAAACCCTGTGTGGAACGAGACCTTTGTGTTGTGAGCCTCGGGTGCAGGGGACGCTGTGATGGCTGACAGAGAATGATCTGAGGGTCTTGGTGGCCCACAAGACCCCAGAGAGCAGATAGTGGGAGGTGTTAGGATAGAAGGAACCCAAGAAAAGGGCAGAGAAAGGCGGTGGGAGAGGGAATGGAGTGACTGAGGGAGAGTGATGGAGTTACAGAAGCCGAGAGAGAGAGAGAGAGAGAGAGAGAGAGAGAGAGAGATATCTGTGCATTTAATCTCCATCAAAGCCCACTACTTTAGAGTGAGACAGAGATGGCGGGTGTTCAGAAGAAGAGACACAAACCCAAAGAGACACATAGACAGAATGCAGGGGGGTGGGGTGTAAGCAAAGGGGTGGTGGGTGGGTGGCAGGAAGAGAAAGAGAAGCCAGTTAACAGAAAGACAGAAGGACAGAGACCCAGAGGAAGGAGGGGGCACAGAGACTCAGATAGGAGAGAGATCTGGAGAGAAAGGACAGGACGCAGGGATCGGAAGGAGCCAAGAATGTGGGAGGAAGGGAGAGAGACTGAGCGCGGTCCAGATGTACTCAAGGTCCCGATATTGGGGAAGACCCCCTTCGGGAGGCTCAGAGATGACAGGACACTTTAGGGAGTAGGAACAGACCCCAGCTCACCCCAGAAGGGCTTGCGTCCTCCTCCAGCACCAAGGATGGGGGAGTTGGGGGAGTGGGGAGCTAGACCCTCACTCCGCCCCACCCTTCCCGCAGCAATCTGAAGCCGGGGGACGTGGAGCGCCGGCTCAGCGTGGAGGTGTGGGACTGGGACCGGACTTCCCGCAACGATTTCATGGGTGCCATGTCCTTCGGTGTCTCGGAGCTGCTCAAGGCGCCGGTGGACGGCTGGTGAGGACGGGGCAGGGGCGTGGTCTCTCTCCTCCGGACCACCAGCATCCTGCCTCCCTGCGCGTCTCTCTCCCTCCTCCCCTGTCCCTCTCCCCCCCCACCCCGTGTCCCCCCACCCCGCCCTTCTCTCCTTCTCTCACTCTTTCTCTCTCCATCTCTGTGTCTTTCTTTCTGTGTCTCTTTCCGCCCTCTGATCCCTCTGCCTCTCCCTCGGGTGCATCCCCCCCACCCCCTACCCTCACCCCGACCCCGCCTCCTGCCCGGTTCCGGTCTCCATCTGTATGTCAGGTACAAGTTACTGAACCAGGAGGAGGGCGAATATTACAATGTGCCGGTGGCTGATGCTGACAACTGCAGCCTCCTCCAGAAGTTTGAGGTACTCGGCCCGGCTTCCCCCAGGGGGAGTCCAGCCCTGCCTCCCACAGTTCAGAGCGGCTGGGCGCCTGCGCGAACTGGGACTACAATTCCCAGAAGACCCCGGGGCTCCTTCCCCTGCCTTTCTCGGGACTCCTGCCCCAGGGTGTGATGGGAATTAGAGTTCCTATCCATTCCCATGGCTTGGGGGTTTGGAGTCGCCACCCTATGCTCTAGGGCAACCTCCTACCTCCCTGGGTGCTCTGACTCTGGCTTTCTTCTCCCCCAGGCCTGTAACTACCCCCTGGAACTGTATGAGGTGAGTAGAGCTCAGGCCCGGAATGGAGAGTTGCATTCCTGTGGTCTGCATGTCTGTCCCCACGTCTCGCTCCCCTGATACCTGCTTTCATTTCCACTCCCATGGGCTGAGCACAGACTTGGCGGCCGGTCTTGTGCTTGCTGAGCAAACCTAGCAGCCCGGAAGGGAACCTGGCCCTGATGTACTACATCAGAGGTAGCCCAGGGCACCGAGAAGCCTGGAGGAGCCGCTCAGCCAGCCTGGGGGGCGGGGGGAGCGGGGAGTGGCCAGGGAGGGACTTCCCTGAGGAGGTGACACCTGAACGGATCCTTGAGTTTTTCTGTTTATCACTGTGGCCTTCTGTCCTCCATTCCTTTTCTCACTCACTCAACACCTATTTCCTGAGGTGTCACATAAGCCAAACCCTGTTCTGGGAGTAGAATCAGTCCATTCCCTGGGGAGCTCCAATTTCAAAGTAGGAGAAAGGTACAGATAGAGACATCCATCCAGAAGGACTATGTTTGATAATGGAGGTAGTAGCCTCAGGCACTGGGGAGTGCCGGAAGCAGCTGCTCAGCCTGGGAGAGCCAGAGAAAGCTTCTGAGCGGGGTGGTGAATCCAGGAGGGAGTGCGGGATTCTCCAGGCACAGGAGAGAGAGACCAGATTTCAAAGCTGAAGGATGGAAAACCTTCCAGGCAGAGGGAAGAGCAGGTGCAAAGGTCCTGTGGTGGGAGCAGGCTGGGAGTGTATGTAGTACAGCAAGGAGGACAGTGGGGCTGAAGGGGGGGAGAGGGTGGGAAAAAGTAGGACATTAAATCAGAGAGGGAAGGGGTGTGACTTATCATTCACTGGAAGGATTTTAGCTTTTTAAAGATTTTATTTACTTATTTATTTGACAGAGATAGCGAGAGCAGGAACACGAGCAGGGGGAGTGCGAGAGGGAGAAGCAGGCTCCCTGGGATCATGACCTGAGCCAAAGGCAGATGCTTAATGATTGAGCCACCCAGGCACCCCAGGATTTTAGCTTTTAAACTGGGTGAGATAGGGTGGGGGGGTGGGAGCATCAAAGGTGGCCTGAGGTGGTTTAGGCCTGAACAGGACACGAGGTCTGTGTAGAGAACAGAGACAGAGGCAGAGGGGGAAGGGGAGAGGAGGCTCTGTGCAGACGCAGGTGGGAGGAGCAGGAAGCAGTGGTCGTGTCTGTGTTCTGACTCTGGGTGTGCTCTGAAGGTTGAGCAATAGGAAATGCGCTCAGCGCTTGTGTCCTAAGAGACCTTCGTCCATTCAGCACCCTCAGTGCTGGACAATGCTGAAGACACAAAAAGGAGGGCGAGACCCCGTCTCTGGCTTTAATGGATTTTGATTTCTGGCTCTGCTTTTTAATCTGCTGTGTGACATTGGGCAAGTTATTTAATGTCTCTGTGCCAATTCCCTCTTCTCTAAAATGGGTGTGGGGGTGGGGGCACCTGGCGGGCTCAGGCAGTGGAGCATGAGACTCTTGATCTTGGGATTGTGAGTTTGAGCCCCATGTTGGGTGTAGAGATTACCTAAAAATAAAAAATAAAATGGGGGGGGTGATAACAGGTTATCTAATGGCATATAGTAAATGTCTGAGTGTTAGTTAAATGACCAACTCTCCAGGCTGTGGAAAACCAGTGCAAGTTCTTAAGCCAACTTGGGGGATGGGGAGGGGGCAGAGACAACTTTCTTTTTCTCTCTGTCTCTCCACATCCCTTTCATTCTTGGATGCTCTCTCTTGGGGGTATATGCCCGTCTGGGGTCTAACTACCTCTGCATCTCTCCCCTTTCTCACAGCGGGTGCGGATGGGTCCCTCTTCCTCTCCCATCCCTTCCCCATCCCCCAGTCCCACCGACTCCAAGCGCTGTTTCTTTGGGACAAGCCCTGGACGTCTGCACATCTCTGACTTCAGCTTCCTCATGGTTCTAGGAAAAGGCAGTTTTGGGAAGGTTGGATTCCTGGGATCCTAGGGGGGAAAGGGGAGGATGTCTGGGGGGAGATCAGATTCCTGGTCTTTAGGGAGGGACACTAGGCGACTGAGTCCCCAAAAAGGGCTCAATGGGACCCCTGAGTTCCCCTGAGAGGACAGGCATAAAGATTCGGATGCTTTCCCTGAGGGAGTGCTCAGCAAAATCAGGGCACCTGGTCCCCTGAGAGAGAGAGAGAGAGAGAGAGAGAGAGGAAGGACCTGGGATTCCCTTTCTCTGTGTCCCTGAAAGGGCGGGGTAGGGACCTGCATCACTGGGTTTGTTCCCAAGATGGACTGGGCCTTTTGGGGCTCTGTCCCTAGGTGATGCTGGCTGAGCGCAGGGGCTCTGATGAGCTCTACGCCATCAAGATCCTGAAGAAAGACGTGATTGTTCAGGATGATGACGTGGACTGCACCCTGGTGGAGAAGCGAGTGCTGGCCCTGGGGGGCCGAGGCCCGGGGGGGCGGCCCCACTTTCTCACCCAGCTGCACTCCACCTTCCAGACCCCGGTAAGGAAGGGGAGGTGCATAGGCTGGCTCAGGTCAGACATCTGCTCCGGGATTCCGAGATTCTGGCGAGGCAAAAGAACCTCCTGCACGCTGACTGGGCGTGGCCAGAGGGATGGGAGCCTGTTGGGCGTGGCCTGAGCCAGCGGGGTCTTGAGTGGGGGTGTTCTGAGCCAAGGAGGTTTGAGGAAAGGGAGTGCGGGGAGGAGAATGGCTTCTGAGTGGCCTGCCAACAGCTGGGCTCCAAGTAACGAGGTCGTCACTCTTGGATTCTGAGAGAAGGTCTCATCAGACATGGGGCGTGTCCCGCAGTTCGTGGGACGGGACAAGGAGTGAGAACCGCCCGAGGTTGGAGAGGGCATGACTCCTTCAAAAAGCTCTGGATAAACTAGTCGGCTTCCTGGATTTAAAGAAACATTATTGTCCATTGCAAGTGAGGCCCGAAACACCTCTGGTTCCTAACAGGTGGTCAGGGTTGCGTTTGCGTGAGGAGGTGCGGGAAGAGGTGGCGGTGCCCCTGGGATTTCCAGGGAATGTGGGGGCCTCAGTCTTCCATTCTCAGAGGGCGGGACCAGTTCCGAGTAGCAGGGGATAGGGCGGGTGGAGATTCTGTGGGGCTGGCTTAGAGTCCTCCGGACCTGCCAGATGCTCTGGGTTGCTGACTGGGTGGATCCGGAGCCTTCCAAGTTTGTCTGGAGGGGGCGGGAATGGACGCGTCCTACCCTCTGGTCAGCGTGTCCCCTCCTCTAAGGCCCCCCCCCGCCCGTCCGCCCCCCTCCCCCCAGGATCGCCTGTATTTTGTGATGGAGTATGTCACCGGGGGCGACTTGATGTACCACATTCAGCAGTTGGGCAAGTTTAAGGAGCCCCATGCAGCGTGAGTCTCGCCCAAGAGAGGAGGGGTGGGGGGAGGGGGGGCCCCAGTCTTTGACCTCTGACTCCCCGCCCCCCTTCTCCAGGTTCTACGCAGCGGAAATCGCCATCGGCCTCTTCTTCCTTCACAATCAGGGTATCATCTACCGGTGAGTGGTCTGGGCCTTTCACTGGAGGTCATCAGGCCCCTAGAGGGAAAGGGATCAAACTCGCGGCTGCAGGGGCACCTGGCTGGCCCACTGGGTAGAGCGAGCCACTGGTGATCTCGGGGTCATGAGTTCAAGTCCCACGTTGGGCGTAGAGCTTACTTTAAAACAAAACAAACAAACAAAAACCAAAACCTTGCTGCTCCAGCCTGTGGAACTCCACCCGTCCCTCAACTCCTATCCATCCTGCCTCCCACCCACCAGGGACCTGAAACTAGACAACGTGATGCTGGATGCTGAAGGACACATCAAAATCACTGACTTCGGCATGTGTAAGGAGAACGTCTTCCCCGGGACCACGACCCGCACCTTCTGCGGGACCCCAGACTACATAGCCCCCGAGGTACCCTCCCTGTGCTGCTCTTGGTGCTGTGCAACTTCGCAGGGGGGGGTGGTGTGTGTGTGTGGCTGGTTGCCTAACATTCGGAATGTGGGGGTCCTGACCCTGGGGTCTTTACATGAGTCGTGGGTGGTCCAACAGCAAGCAGCTCAGAGAGGCCTGTGCGCCCCGCATTCCCAGTGGGCAGAGCTGGGTCTCTAAGCTGGCAAAGTGGGCGGACAGGTGGGTGAGTGTTCTAAAAGAGCAGGACCCGCTCGGCTCCTAAGAATTCTCAGAGAGCAGGACCTGTTGCAGGACTATTCTAGAAGGTAGAGACAACTTCGAGTGTACTCTGAGTGGGTGGGGCCCGTCCCCCCAGAACACTGGGTATGTGGAGGCTGTCTCCTGAACATTTCAAGGGGGGGAGTATACTCGGACTTTGTTAAGGGGGTGGAGCTAATGATCTGACCTTAAGTAAGTAGGTAGAGGGTCTCAGTTGAGGGAGGATGTGGTGTTAGTGCTGCCTTTCTTAATCTTCCAGGGTGATTCAATGCTAATGCCTTTGCATCATGTGATCAATGTCCATGGTTTCAAAACATGGCTGGGAGTCAGAATCACCTGCGGAGATTTTGAAAAACACACATATTGTTGACTCTGACCTATTGAGGCTGGAATTCTTAGGGCTAGGAACAGCCCCCTAGATGAATCTTAAATGCATCCAGATTTAAGACTCTCTGGTCTCTGAAATTTAGCCCTTATTTTACCCTCTCCTTAAGGAGAAGGTCCAGTTACCTAAATATTCTAGCTGGGTGGAACTTTTGACTTGGTCCTTAGATGGTCTTTATTTTTGGGACCAAAGGAATATTCTAAGTAGGTAAATTCTGTTTGTGAATTGTCCAAAAAGATGGAGCTCTGGCCAAAGTGTTCCGAGTGGGAAGAGTTTGTGTTGAAAACACTTCGAGTGGGTAGGGTTCCCAGGGAGGTGAGGCCAGAAGGGGTCTTAGGCTTCTTAAAGCACAAACCAGGATTCCTTGACTTCCATCCTTCCTCACCAGATCATTGCCTACCAGCCCTATGGGAAGTCTGTGGATTGGTGGTCCTTTGGGGTTCTGCTGTATGAGATGCTGGCAGGACAGGTAAGGGAAGCTGGGAGAGGCTGGCCTGGCTAAAGGCAACACGGTGTGGGATGGCATCTGTTACATGGCCTCTCAAAGGAGCTGGTTAGGAAGGGATGTCTGCCATCTAAGGAGGGGTGCTAAGCAGTTGGGAATGTCCTGCCTGGATAGTGCTGTCCTTGGTCCTGAAGCATTATTTTCCCACAGGCCAGGGTTCTTTTCTTTTCTTTTTTTTTTTAGGCCAGAGGTTCTTAAAACTTTTTTGGTGCCAAGGACCCCTTCTCAGAACAATGTGTTTAAATGCCTGAAATAAAATAATAGGATTACAAAGGAAATCAATCGTATTTAAATGGCTATCAAAACTTTAAAATTTTAATTTAACTTAGTTCAGCCAACTAAATTAATTTAAAGGTACACAATTAGGTAAATATTGAACACTGGGATGTGGACATATATGTGATTTCCTATTAATGAATTAAATGGTAATGTCTCACAATGGTGGGAAATAAACAGGAAGGTCTACCAGGAATCTTGAAGTTGAGATGACTAACATTTTGAGGTATCTGCAAATCTAATGTGCTAAGAAAATATCTGTGGTTTCTGTTGGTGATGAAGTCACAAGTACTACTGTTGTGGTTTTTGCCTACGTTTATAAGGGAATGCTAAATTTCAGTTAGAGATTTTTAAAAATAAAGATGTACTTTTTCCCCTGTTCAAGCTCATGGACCCTCTCAATTGTATAAACAGACTTCCTAGACCCCACATTAAGAATCCTTTCCTTGGGAGGCCCCTGAGTGGCTCGGTCAGTTAAACATCTGACTCTTGATTTTGGCTCAAGTCATGATCTCAGGGTCCTGAGATCGAGCCCTGTGTTGGGCTTCTCACTGGGCGTGGAGCCTGCTTGGGATTCTTTTTCTCTCTGCTCCTCACTCATCCCCTCCCCTACTCCTGCATGCTCTCAAAAAAAAGAAAGAGAGAAAAAGGAAAAAGAAAAGAAAAAAAAGAAGAAAAGGAAAGAAAGAAAAGAATTCTTGCCTTGGTATTGCTTTTCCTAATCCCAGAAGACTGGAAGCCACTCATCTAACCAAGAGAATGCTTTTACAGTTTTTCCTGCATTTTTTTGGTCTCTCTTCTATTTAAGTGACATATTGTCTAATTAATGCCCTGCTGATTTGCATAGCAGAGAAAGACAGAACAGCAAGGAGGTGCAGAGAGCTGGTGCATCTGAGATAGGAAAGCAGAGAGTCTGAGATGGAGAGAGAGAAAGCTTTGGTGGCTTGGTCCAATTTTTCCCTAGGATGTTGGAGGGGGGTGTTTGTGTTCTTGGTGGATAATGAGGGTGTGGAAGGTGGGGGAGAGGCAGTTTGTCAAATCTCTGACTCTATCCCTCTATTTCCTCAGCCCCCTTTTGATGGGGAGGATGAGGAAGAGCTGTTTCAGGCCATCATGGAACAAACTGTCACTTACCCCAAGTCGCTTTCCCGGGAAGCTGTGGCGATCTGCAAGGGGGTGAGAGCCCCCGACCCCCAGAGCCTCCAGACAACCCCTGTGCCCTACCATCACCATCCTGGGCTTCCCATGCAGTGGTTCTGTGCACATTAGAAAAAGGCTCCCACCCCTCAAGTTACTGCCCTTCCATCTGCTGGCAAAGTTTGTATAATACAGAGATGTCATTAGAACACTAATCGACTGCCCTGCTATCCCCTCCAGTCCAAGGATGGCCTCTGTCTCTTTCCCCTCCGCTGCACCCACTCCCCAGCTCACTGTGTGGAGTGCTGGAAGGCCAGGGTCTGCCTCTCCAGAACCGGGTGGGTCAGGTGAACCTAACACCTGCCACTTCTCTTCCTGTGGGATCTTGGGCAAGCCACCAAAACTCCGGGAGCCTGCCTCCTCTACTGGGGTCATGGAGTTAGTGCAAGAGAAAGAGTCTAGCCCGTGGCAGCTTTTCAACAAGCATTAGCACCCTTCTGCTTCTGGCTCCTGTCTCCATTCTCTCTGACTGTCGCTCTCTGGCTTCTGTCTCCCGCCTCTGCCTCCATCTACATTTGATGGGGCTTCCTGTGTCTCCACCTTTTCTCTGTGTCCCTGGGGATGCACCTCTTGCATCTTTGTCCCCCTCTATCTGGGTGTCTATTCCCCTCTTACCCCCAACTCCCATACACACATATTCTGGGTCTCTGTCCTCTTTCTGGAACTCTCCTTCTCTCTTTCTGAGTCTCTGCCTTCATATTGTATCTTTACCCCTCTCTCTGGGGGTTTGTCTCCTGAATCTCCACCCTCTTTCTGCATCTCTGCTTCCCCCCGAACATCTGCTCTATCTCCCACCTTCTCTGGGTCTCTGCTCTTCCCCTGGGTCTCTATCTCCCCCTCTCGGGATCTCTGTTCCCTCTTTGCTCTGGGTCTCCAACCGCTTTCTCTCTCTCTCCCTCCCTTCATCCTTCCCTTTTCCTCTCCTCTCTCTCTTTCTCTCCTCCTTCTCCTCCATCCCTTTTGGGGATTCTTCGCTTGTCCCCTTCCTCTTTCTGGGTTTCTTGCCCCTCATACCCTGATGCCCTGATTTCTCTCTCTCTCTCTCTGTCTGTCCTCGGGTCTCTGGGTTTGGAGTTCATCTATCTCATTCTCATTTATTCTCCCCCATTCCTCTTTCTCTCCACCTCCCCCACCCCTGTTCCCCCTTGCTATTCTCCTCTCTCTGGGTCTCTATGCTGTGTCTCTGTTCCTCTGTTTTTGTCTTTCTCTCTTGCTCGTTCTCTGTGCCTCCCTGTCCGGGACTCTGTCTGTCTGTGTGTCTCTGTGTTTTCCACAGTTCCTAACTAAGCATCCAGCGAAGCGCCTGGGCTCAGGGCCAGACGGGGAGCCCGCCATCCGTGCTCATGGCTTTTTCCGCTGGATGGACTGGGAGCGCTTGGAGCGACTGGAGATCGCCCCTCCGTTCAGACCCCGTCCGGTCAGCCACCTTTCGGGAACAAACCTTGGTCCCTCGGGGTGGGGGTACCCAGGAGCTCCAGTTCCTATATGTGGAGGTGGGGTGGGGCTCCCTCTGTGGAGACGCCCTAACGGGAGATGCAGAGCACGTGAAGGATGTGCAGACATTCCAAAGGAGCCAGGAGATGCACAGAGGGGACGCAGAGGGACACCCAAGGAGCCAAGAGAATTTCATCTTTCCTTCCCCTGTGCTTCCCACAGTGTGGACGCAGCGGCGAGAACTTCGACAAATTCTTCACGCGGGCGGCGCCAGCACTGACCCCGCCAGACCGCCTAGTTTTGGCCAGCATCGACCAGGCCGATTTCCAAGGCTTCACCTACGTGAACCCGGATTTTGTGCACCCGGACGCCCGCAGCCCCATCAGCCCCCCGCCTGTGCCAGTCATGTAATCTGTCCTGCCGCCACTAGGTGTCCCCATCGCTCCCTCCCTGCTCCAGCCTTAGCCCCTCTTCACCCCCTCTGCCATTCTGTTCTTGCTCCCCAGCATTCTAGCCTCTGCCCTGTGGGTGCTAGATGCCCCTCCGCAGCGTTCCTGGCATTCTAAACTCCATACAGTCTCTAGAGCCTTACCGCGTTCTAGATTCTGCTGTGCTGAGCCCTGGATTCTCCCCCACCTCAGTGTTCTGGCCTCTGCTCTACCGGGTTCCAGAACCACTAACACTCTCCCAATTCCATGGGGTTCTAGACTCCATTTTGGTAGACTCTGTGCCTCTCCTTTTTTTTTTTTTTTTTTTCCTTTCTGGGAAATAGTCTCATGGGGTGCGCTGTTCCAGACTTGGATTCCAGAACAAACCCCCACCTCCGACCCCCCCATCTCCACTCCATTCTGGAGTAAGTGGGAGGCTGTGCCCCCATGCTCCAGCGCTCCTCTTCTACACTCTAGGGATTCCTGGGATGTATGAAGGATTCTTATTACCCCAGCTGTTCTCAATCAGCTTTTGTTCTAGACGCCCCCACCCTAAACCCATCACTGCTCGCCTGCCACGCGCAGGGACCCACTCCTCCTCCCAACCCCCACTCCCCCCTGTCCCCCCCCCACCCGGCCACAGCTACTGGAGAATAAATTTGGGATGCTGATGCTGAAGTGTTTGGATGTTTTCTTCTAAGCTTGCAGAATGAAGGGGGTGTGGAGGTGGGACAGTGACTGTACACGGAAACGCACACCCAGAGGCTGGGGGCAGGGCGACAGAGAGGGGGGGAAGCACAGAGACCCACAAAGTGGGGAGAAGGTACCCACAGCGCCAGAGGGAAAGAGCAGAGCCGGGCGTGGGGGGAGGCACGAGCGCCGCGGAGAGGAGCGAAGTGGGCACGTGCACAAGGACGTAGAGATGGACACGCAGACCGCTGGGAGTGTCAGGTAGAGACCCCCCGGCGCAGAGACCCAGGCACGCACCTACTCACCCAGAGCCATACAGAAGCTCACAGACCCACACTGAGACCCAGAGACTGGGGCGGGGGTGGGGGCAGTCCTGAGAGGGGAGATGAAAGGCAAACCTCCTAGGGAGAGACCTGGAGAAGTGATCCCTGGGAGACCCCACGACAGAGAAACCAAGCAAGCAGAGCCCGTGAGCTTAAGAGTTAGCCAGAGAGGCAGGGGACAGGCCGACGCGCCGTCCGGGCCTCTTTGCCTTGACCCACTTGCGGGGGAGGGGGGCGGGGGTGGAAAAACCAGTCCCAACAGACTACAGTTCCCAGCAGACACCGCGGTGGACCCTCCCCCCAAGTGCGGCCCCTCACCGCCAGGGCTGATGGAAAATGTAGTCCCGGACCCGGGCAGGCCAGCTGAATGGTGTGCCTATGTCTGTGTGTTTGGAGGGGACTGAGCCCCAAAGCTTCGCAGGCTCCCTCGGGGAGCCCCGGTGTCTCTTCGTCTCTGCAGGCTCTTGGGTTTCCGGGACTCGGTCCAGTTGGATGCTGGGGCTCCCCTTGGCTCCCTCATCACCGGGGCGGTACCCCCATGCTCTGCCCGCGGCCCCCAGCCCCAGCTCCGACCCTCGGCGGGCGGCCTGCCCCTTTAAGAGTGGCCCCGCTGACATCACGGCGGGTGAGGGGGGGGGGGCTGGCCCGGCTCCCGGCTCCGCGGCGGCTGCAGGACCCGGCTCCGCTCTGCGCCCGCCTGCTGCTTTGGGGACCCCGGCCCGGGACGCCCCCTCCCGCCTCCTCCAGCTGCCCAGACCCCAGGCTCCGCCCCAGGCCTGGCCAGAGCCCCAGTCCTTATCAGGGGAGCCCCAGGATCGCCCCTGCTCTCTCTCCTTCTCAGGGTCTCTCTCTCCTTCTGTCTCTCTCTCTATCTCTTTCCCTAGCTCAAGGTGTCTGGGTCTCAGCCTCTCTCAGCCCAGGGCCTGTGAGCGTTTCCCTGTCTCTCTGTCTCTCTGACCTGTCCACTTCCAGAGCCCCAGAATCTCTGAGCCCGAGGGCAGCGGGGGTCTTAGACCTGATCTCTGCCTCTTCTTTTCTCCCTCTCTCTCTTTTAGGCCACCTCTGTGTTTCCCCCAGTCTCCCGACCTGCGAGTCTCAGAATTTCTCAGCCTCGAGGTCTCGGTGGGACTCTAGATCCTCGGCTCTGCCTCTCTGCCTCTCTGTGTGCCCCTGCCCCTCTCGGGCTCTCTGCCTCTGTTTCTATTCTCCTTCCCTCCCTGCCTCCCCCATTCTCAAGGCCCATCTCCCTCTCTCCCTGCAGCCTCCTCCTCCCTCCCTCCCCGCCCCTCCCCTCCTCCGCAGTAGCCAATGAGCGGCCGCCGGTCCCAGCTCCCGGCGCCGTCCGCCGAGTG